GAAGAAAGAAGGAAGAAGAAGAAAGAAGAAAGAAGAAAGAAGAAAGAAGAAAGAAGAAAGAAGAAAGAAGAAAGAAGAAAGAAGAAAGAAAGAAAGAAGAAAGAAGAAAGAAGAAAGAAGAAAAAGAAGAGAAAAGAAGAAGAAGAAAAAGAAGAAGAAGAAGAAAAAAAGAAGAGAAAGAAGAAGAAAAAGAGAAGAAAAAGAAGAGGAGAGAAAAGAAAAAGAAGGAAAGATGAGAAAGAGAAAAGAAAGAAGAAGAAAAGAAAAGAAGAAAAGAAGAAGAAGAAGAAGAAGAAGAAGAAGAAGAAGAAGAAGAAGAAGAAGAAGAAGAAGAAGAAGAAGAAGAAGAAGAAGAAGAAGAAGAAAAGAAGAAGAAGAAAAAGAGAAGAAGAAAAAGAAGAAGAAGAAAAAGAAGAAGAAAGAAAAGAAGAAGAAGAAGAAGAAGAAGAAGAAGAAGAAGAAGAAGAAGAATAGCGGCAAACGGGAACAGTGGCGTACGATAGGCGTACGATTGGGTCAACGGAATTTGTAAGGCATGCCTATGGTGGGTGGCGCTCGAATCAAACGTTCGTAATTCATTCCCAAGTGAGCCCTGAGAGCGGGAATAAGAAACGAGAGGAAATGAGCCGGTGGACGAAAGGCTTTAGTCTTTACCTGCTTCCCTCACTAGATGCTAAATTACTACTTCAACACATCCAGATTTGTAATGATTCACAAGGTTTTGGTATTTACAGCAAGCAACTGCCACTTAAATAGCAGACGAACAACTCTACCGGTCCAACTGTTAAACACAGCAAAGCATTTTCAACAATTTGCAAGAGAGGGGGTGTATAGAAAAATGCGAGAAGTGCCTATGAGGGGGAGGGGAGGGAGAGTACATGTGGCGAATCAAAGTAACGAATGAACTATAGTTCGCTTCAAAAAGGTATTTCAGAAGAAATGGGCACTCCGACTGGTTTTCTCTCTCCCTTGAAAATGTGAAGCGAGGAGACCCACTTCAAACAGATAGGAGAATCGGTTGCTGGCTAAGCGGGGTGATAGATGGTAATAGATAACATGCTGCGATGAGAATTACCAGCAACCGGTCTTTGTGTTGCAGAAGTGAGTACTGTTTTTTCGCTCGACCGTCGGGTAAATTAGTCGCTGAACAGGTCTTCAGGGAAGAAAAAGCGAAAAGAAAAACTATAGAGAACACCAAAAGTAGAGATTGTCTAGACGAGTTCCCCGGTCTTGCTCGTTTCATGCCGGCGGAGTGATATCTTGTTACCTTTAGCTCAATAATCGTTTCTCTGCGTCATTCAATACCATTATCATCCCACAAAAAAATAAGAGGAAAATGTGGGGTAAAAATTGAAATTGTGACAGAAAATAGCCTTTGAGCCTGGTGGGTGGGGCAATGGAGAGGCGTCAGAAATGCCACTTATGGTCCACCGCGCACAGCACTTACCAAGAAAATGGGGTAACCATAGAGAATGAGGACAAACTACTTGTACAAGGAGGGTCGCCTGTTGCTCAAAGTGTGGGGAATGCCTTCAAAGAATAGAGCGGCTTTGTCCTCGTCAAAATTTCTTCTGTGCTACGAGATTGTTGGGTGGAGATCTTTACTGCCGCCCACAATTCGTCCGGGTCTTCTTCACCAGGAGCCTGAACGTGACTTATGTTTTAGAAATTGTTCTCCCTAGACTGCCAAGCGCCTCTTCTCTTTGGCAAGGCACACCATCGCGCTATGCAACATAGCAGCGTCAGTACGACTCCTCCCCCAATATGCAGGACAACAGTCTTCGTCCAGTTTTGAGCCATCTAACGTGCAAGCACCTGAGCAAATTCATGCAAATAATGATGGCTAGTGTGTTTCAGCTTAACTGCGACTTATTCTATATTTATTCACCTCCCTCAAAAAAAATGATGGCAGTGTGTTCAGCTCTAACTGCGAGCTCTATTCTATATTTATTCACAAAAAAAAACACCCTGTAAGTGTAAATAAACCAATGAAATACAATGGGTTGAAGTGTGAGTATACCAATAGCTCTCGTAGGGGAGATTCATGGTGTTCTCTTACAAGGGAGGTCGTTCAGGCGCTTTTTCAAAACGGTTGATTGCATGTTGTAGGGGTTTATGCGAGGACCATAGCGATGGGGTTAATTTTTGTAAACGGTACCAGTTTTTGTAAAAGTTTCTGGTGGTTTGTATGCCAGAGAGGATACTCAATGGAGGGTTCGCCTGTCACTGCCATCCAAATGGTCAAGTCCATGACCACCAAAAAACTCGAAAAAATTTTTTCGCTGAAACCTCTTAAACAGGGGTAATCAATGGCCCTGATCACGATTCTGACAATTATTTATGGCGCCGACGTGATCTGGGGCCAGCGTGGCGCTAAATGGCCACTGCGAGCGCGAAGGGATGCTGCATAAACCCCTAAAGAAACTGCAGTGTACCTCACTGTATGCAAAGTAAAGCACTTCAATTTCGACCTTATTCAATATTGTTTTTCATGTCTAGTTGAGGAACACTTTATAAACTCTATGTATTCTGCTTTACAGCTGAAACAGATGCGAATGAGATGATAAAACTTGCGTATTTTAAGCGATTTGTTTTTATTCCTTTTTTGACATTCCCAATAGCGTTTAGCAAAAATGAAACCCATCTGTGTGGTCCTTGTATGGACCCCTACAACATGCAACAAATCGTTTTGAAAAAGCTCACCACGGCCTGAACGACCTCCCTTGTTAGTTCAGTTGTTCACTACAAAAATCAACCAATTATATCATCCTAAGTTCCCCTATGATTTTCAACATTGTGATTAACCGATAAATTTGAATGAGTTATGCATCCGACAACCTTTTTCCCCAGCCGGTCTTTTCAGCCGTCAGGTATCACTTGAGATTCTATAAAATTTTTCAGTGGATAACAGTCAGCACATGTGTGACCAACAAGCGGCAGTTAGTGAAATTTGCTCCCAGGGTTAGTTCCTCCGTCACGGGCATAAAGCGGTCACACAAAAGTCTATGCGATCGAAATGAAATTCATGGGGAAAACAGAAACACTGTAGTAAAGGGAAGCCTAAGATAACCTCATGCGCTGTTCGCGCGTCTTAGTCGTTATTCTGGCTACGCTACTTTGCGGTTTCTTGCAAAATATTGCGTTGGCCCATAAGTAATGGCGTTCGACAGTGTTTTGTACTGTTTTTCAGAGAATTCCTTGCCCTATACGATTTCCTCATAGATCTTTGAAGTTTCTGTTTCCACTGTTTGAGCGCTCGAACTGGAGTGACAGGTCGACGAAATTGTGCATCTTCCACAGCCGCTCTTTTTTTCTTCCAGTCGAAAAACTGAAAGCGCACGGGCCTAGTTGGTTAGTATATGGCCAAGAGGTCATGCCCCTCAGAAATGCTTACAATGGATTGACCATTTCCAAGGTTTCAATTTCGACCTCACAGACAAGCATCGAACCTAATGCCCTATTGAGTCGAGCTGAGAGCTTACTATATCACCTTATTCACTGGGTTTCATACCAAGGGTGGGGAACTAGGTCGTGGAATGCTTCTTCATCACAATCGAGCATCACTCTCAGCTGATGTTCGATATCGAAAATTGTTGAGTGGGTTCTGCAGGCTGTCGCTGTAAATGAGGGCACCTATGGGACGCTCATTTACAAGGTCCAAATTACCGTTGTTGGCGAAAATCACTTTTGTGTCTACCCTACCCTCCATTTCAATGGGATAAGAATCAACAGAAATCAAGTAATAGTAGGTAGGCAATCCCCGCTGTTTTATAGAACGGAAGATTATCTATCGAATAGCGTAGAATACAGTGGAGACGATTCTAATCTTTCGTATAAAGATTTGTATAATTAAAAAACCTCATTACTTACGGGCCAACCCAATAAGTTCAGAAACTCTGTGAGTACCCCGCATATACTTACCTTCTTTTGAGGCAAACACGTCGATCACCGACAAATTCCGCGACCCTGAGAAAACCTTACATGATGTCTTCTCCAAGTAGAAGCTGTCTCTGAGCGTTCTAGCAGGGCTTAACACAATAATCAGTATTCCCTTTAACAACGACACGCCCACAAATGGTTCAGCAATCAATCACGATCGGTTTAGCAATTTTCACCCACCACCTGCTCCGAATGCCACTTTTTTTCTCCAAACAGGGTTGCTTTTGAAGAGGCAAGTTCCTGTGATTAACTAAAATATCTTTCTTTGGCAGAGTGCAAGGTTTCCTGCAAGTGGTGTCCGTTTTGTAGTTTTAATCTCCCTTTACTTTTTGACTTTTTCTCACATTCCCGCGATTCTCCGACAGCCGCTTCAAGTATTAGGTTGAGTCGATATGTCTCGGACATGATTTCTAGAGATCATAACTCAGCAAGCGAGTGAACGAAAATGGACGCGCGAGGTACCGTTGGAAAGAATATAAAAAGCTCTTCAAAATGCAATCAAACAAACACTCCAAACTAGTTTCATTCCGCCACCATGCCGCACGATTTCAAGCCGTCCAGAGACCACCTCCGCAACGTCATACTCTTTCTAACGCTATCTGGCCAAGAACCCGCGGATATCGACAGACGCCTAAAGGAAGTCTACAAGGAGCATGCCCCCGCTAGAAGTACAGTCTACTTGTGGCATTCGAAGTTTGCGTCGGGCAACTATTCCATCGAAGACGAAGACCATGCGAGACGCCCGAGGGAGCTGGATTTGGACTCGCTGCGGAAACAGGTGGAAGCCGATCCGTATCAAACCACTCGAGATATGGCGACCGCTCTTGGGGTGAGTCAGACTACTGTCGTTCGCGGCTTGAAGTCAATCGGCAAGGTGCTGAAACTCGGTCGATGGGTACCCCATGCTCTGACGCAGCGGGACATGGATCGGCGGTGCGAGGTCGCACTTTCGTTGCTCACCTTCAAGCGCCACCACCATTGGCTCGACGAAATAATCACTGGCGATGAGAAGTGGGTCCTCTACTCTAACTCTCACCGCCGTGCACAATGGGTCGACAAAGATGCCGACGCAAACGACGTCCCCAAACCCAGTCCACACCCGAAAAAGGTGATGCTCTGTATTTGGTGGAGCGTACACGGCGTAGAGTACTGGGAACTGCTCGATGAAGGTGCAACAGTAACCGCCGACGTCTACATTCGTCAATTACGAGAATTGAAGGCAAATGTCCAAAATTCGCAACGGCGGCGGTCCCATGTCTACTTCCAGCACGACAACGCGAGACCGCACATTGCAAGATCGACCAAGGCCGAGCTGCTGTCGTACAGTTGGACCGTGCTTCCACACCCACCGTACTCTCCAGACCTGGCCCCTTCGGATTTCCACCTTTTCTCCCACCTCCAACGCCACCTGGACGGCCAAGACTTCAAAACTCGCGACGACGTCAAGAAGGCACTCGAGAACTTCTTCGAGGCCCAGCCCCCGGCCTTCTGGAGCAAGGGCATCCACGATCTGCCTATCCGGTGGCAGAAGGTCATCGATGAAGATGGAGCATATTTCAAGTGAACCCCAGTTGTCGTTAAAAAGTTGTACGATAAAGAAAAAATTTGTCAATTGTCCGAATCATGTAGACTCAACCTAATATGTCAGTCGTTGATATGTCCTCCTCCTGTTGAGGACCTTCATTGTTGTGAAGTTTGCTACCGTTTGAAATAATGTTTCATTATTTCTTGTGCGGTCATCTTAAAACTTTCACATTGATCTTTGACCACCGATGATTCGCCTGAAGCGCAGCTCGCTTTCCTAATTGGAGCGGTTAATAAGTGCTCTATTTTGGACGTTTCAGGCCGTTCCTCCCCGTTTTGCGCTACGGTCGTACTACAGAGTGCCTCCGCTCCCGAAGTTCGCGGAGAACCTAATTACCGTGCCTCTTTGAGTATCAGAATTTCTTCGCTGTGTAATCGTTATTGAAATTTGGTGTCGCAATAGTTTCATGCTCTCAACAACCGTAACTTCTATCACAGTGACATTTTGCAAGACCAGAAGCGATGCTGGAATCCATAAGGTTCCCTCTCTCGATCCATCTCTTTCTCTCTCCCTCTCTCTGAAAATCGTCGCGCTTGGTTGATGGTTAAAGAAATTCCTCGTCATGTAACCGTTCTGACAAACCTCGAGCCCTCGGGAAGCTCAGTGTTCCTGCAGCGGCTTCCTTTTCATCCAGTGACTTAAGCATGAATCTAGAACCTATCTTTTCGTTCTAATTATCGAAAATAATTAGTTTGGCGTCGATTCGTCCCACCTCTGTATTACACCATACATTTCACTCCCAGCGAAGGTGATGGGAAGGCGTAACTTCTGCGTAAGCCGTGCAGGAAGATGTGTCAATAGGGTTCCACGACAAGGTCTGATGCTCCATCATCTTTCGTTTGATCATTCTCAAGGCTGACTGCCCTCGGTCCCCTCCCTACCTAGCGGTAAATTGTGATTCGTAACTATGAGAACCACAACATCCTTGTGATTCCCACAGCGATGTTGTGCCCTGGTTGAAGAGTAATTCTGCTCAATTTGACGATGTCATGTTTCCTTACTGCATGCAGTATGATAAGGCTCCACAATAAGCTAAAGTTGAGAACTGCTAAACACAACATCAAATTGCAATCAATCGCTTCAGTGACGGCTCGCAACCTACTGAGTGATAAACGGGAGATTCACAATAAAATTTATGTGGAGTCATGGTAGCCTCCTATATTCCGCAGTTTTATGAGAGACGGGTGGCATGTGTAAGCAGCATCATATACTAATGACCCTCGCAGGTCGACTTTCCTAATAATTATTCATGTCTCATTTCGTTTTTATATTTATACATACCCATCTATATGTCACAATAGCTTAAACCTTGAGTCTAGATTTTGCAGCATTCAGGTCGAATTACCAAGGAAAAGCTTGATTTCTTGAGCGCAAGCAGGGTCCTTTGTTGACTTGGAAAGCAATATATCCAGTACAGTCAGTTGAAGCTAAATCATCGTACAGATCCATAGCTATCCTACTATATATAATTCGCTAAGTATGTCTGTACGTGTGTGTGTGCGTCCGTCTGTTTGTCACGAAATTCATAGCGCCGGTCCCAGTGAGACATTGATTTCAAGAAGTGATGTAGGCGGTGTGACGGGAACACTATTGGTGGGTGACAGGAGAGATCTTAGTTGATAATCCGATAAGAGGTGTTAGAAAGGGAATTTCACCGTATTGGCAGCACAGGTCGCAGCGTCAGTTGGGTTTTGATTTCAAGATATGATGCAGGGTATTGCAGGAGGAACATTATTGGTGGGTGACAAGAACGGCTGGCAGCTGATAGGATACGGTAAGGCGTTAGAAGGGGAAGTTCACCGTATTCAGAGCACGGGTCATAGCATCAGCGAGGTTTCGGTTAGGGAAATGATTAACAGCCGAGAATACTCAATAAGGGGCCTTATTAAAGGAATGTCACTCTGTACTCATAAGGGGGTCGCAGCGTCAGCTGGGTTTTGATTTCAAGATATGATACAGGGTATTGCAGGGAAACATCATTGGTGGGTGACAAGAACGGCTGGCAGCTAATAAGATTACGGTAAGTTGCGTTAAGGGGAAGTTTAGAAGTCACCGTATTAAGCCACAAGTCAAAGCATCATTGGTTAGGCTGCGTTTATACTTTGCGGCAGCGTAGCGTAGCGCTTCCAGCGTACGCCAGCGGCAGTGCCGGGGAGAGGATGCATATCGATCTAGCGTTCCCAGCGTCACCAGCGTAACGCTAGCGTTTTGCTAGCGTTTGCAGCGGCAGTAGAGACTATGGGAGAGCTGGAGGGTACAAAACACATCGATTGCGCGTCTCTCACTCGCCCTCAGTCTCTACTATACACATCGATTGCGCGTCTCTACGGCCACATAGTCTCTACTCCCCTGCCGCTGCAAACGCCAGCAAAACGCTGGTGAAACGAAACGCTAGCGTTACGCTGGTGACGCTGGGAACGCTAGATCGATATCCATCCTCTCCCCGGCACTGCCGCTGGCGTACGCTGGAAGCGCTACGCTACGCTACGCTCCCGCAAAGTATAAACGCAGCCGTAGGGAGTGATTAACACCCGAGAATATTCAATAAGGGGCCCTCATTAAAGGAATGCACTATACTAATAAGGGGGTCGCAGCGTCAGCTGGGTTTTGATTTCAAGATATGATACAGGGTATTGCAGAGGAACATTATTGGTGGGTGACAAGAACGGCTGGCAGCTGATAGGATACGGTAAGGGGCGTTAGAAGGGGAAGTTCACCGTATTCAGAGCACGGGTCATAGCATCAGCGAGGTTTGGTTAGGGAAATGATTAACAGCCGAGAATACTCAATAAGGGGCCTTATTAAAGGAATGTCACTGTACTCATAAGGGGGTCGCAGCGTCAGCTGGGTTTTGATTTCAAGATATGATGCAGAGTATTGCAGAGGAACATTATTGGTGGGTGACAACAATGGCTGGCAGCTGATAAGATACGGTAAGGGGCTCAAGGGGAAGTTAACCGTATTGGCAGCACAGGTCGCAGCGTCAGTTGGGTTTTGATTTCAAGATATTACAGGGTATTGCAGGGGAACATTATTGGTGGGTGACAAGAACGGCTGGCAGCTGATAGGATACGGTAAGGGGCGTTAGAAGGGGAAGTTCACCGTATTCAGAGCACGGGTCATAGCATCAGCGAGGTTTGGTTAGGGAAATGATTAACAGCCGAGAATTCTCTATAAGGGGCCTCATTAAAGGAATGTCATATACGGAATTGCCCGTATTTGCAGCGGGTCACCACATTCATCCGGCTCTAGAAGAGGAACGAATCACTAGGCGAAATGTACATCTAAGCGCAGCCGGCTTTAGGCCGGGAGAAGGGGGTCGTATATGGCTGTCAGAGGAAATTGCCGCCCTGGGAAAAAAATTTTCCCGTTTGTTTACTTTCCTTGATTTTTTTGATTTTTCCTCTTTCATGTGTACTATCGATCAAGATATGAGGTATCCATCTTTAGCACGTCTCCGCAACCGAGGGCCTGAAGGCGACCGACGTGTTGATTGGGCACATCCAAGTCTCGTCGCAAGACTGCGGGTGTTAACTTCCGGATCCTCTTTGACGGCGTCGAGAATGACGAATTCGTCGACGGAGAGGGGCAATCCGACCGAGGCTTCCCCTGTCTCCTTCCTCGAAGCGAGCGACCAGCGATGGACCGTAGCGATGGAAGTGGTGTCCTCCCCCATACGCTGTTGATGTTGCGAACGGTTGCCGTCGCTCCGGTGCCGCGGCGCCACTCGTAGAAGATGATGTATCGAACATGGTCTCGTGGAATTGACATCGTGATTAAGCTAAAGGAGGAAGCGCGCTATATACAGGGGGGGGGGCAAAAAAAGTCACTTCGACCGAGTCACATATCAGCAAAGTTTTCGCTGCCCAGACAGAGGACGTGGATACGAGTACCAGGGCGGAAGATACCCAAGATGTTCCTCTATAAGCAGGAGCTGGCTCTCGCCCATCACCTTCATGTACACCAAAATATGAAGTCATCTCCAGTCGCAGCCTGACTGGAGAAGACCTTTGGAATTCATGTCACCTCCAAACAGCTGCGAAACTTCTAGTATGGAGTCACCCATGGATAGCTACCTGGAGACCACGTCATCACCAGACCACATCATCTTCACCGCAGTCGCCAAGGCGCGGGTTGATGGTATGGACCGGACGTACCTGGAATGGAAAGACCAATATTTTCTTCGTGGACCCCGGACTGAAGGTGAGCGCTGGCGGTTACATTGGGCAACTCGTGAAGAATATCCTCCTCACATGTCGTCGCCCGTACCTTCTTGGAAACTTGTACTGCTACAGCATTGGGTGCCACCACATGGAATCGAAGGGCGTTGGAGAAACTCTCGCCTACTTGGAATGGAAGGGGGCTGAGTACCTAAAGAAGATGGAATATCCAAGTAGGTCACCTGACCTGAATCCCTCAATTACCCGGTTCGGGCGGAGTTCAATAGGGTGGTCTACGGTGGCGGAGAAATCGACTATCTCGCTGATCTCAGGCGGTCGCGTGCCAGAATCTCTCGATGGCGCTCGTCCAGAAGGCTGTGGCGGAGTGTCATGATAGTATTTAATATGCTCTTTAATATGGTGGTAAAAATGTCCGATCAGAATTTGATAAAGTGTAACTTATAGCGCCTCGAAAGTCAATGAAGAAAAGTGACTTTTTTTTGCCCCCCCCCCCCTGTATACACATTACGGAGAAGGTTCAAGAATGTTCTACCACTACCACATTGCAAGTCATTGGTATCGATCAAGAATGGCAAGAATGGAAAGTTCTGGAATTTTGAAGAACCCTATCAAAACTATTTGATCAACCTAATATATAGCTCCACCCCCCCCCCTCGCTCGACAGCAAAACTTCCGGAGAAAAGTAGGAAAATTTTTGGTGAATTCCGTGAAAAGTGGTAGAAGGTTGCAGTTTGGTAATAATCTAGGAAGTTTTCCCGTTGGCTGGTGGAAAGATGGAAACAACTTGTAAGAAAACGGTAGGTTGGTGTTGGTGAAGGGGGGGGGGAGGACGTACCGAGAACCTCTTCCAGGCGGGGGAGGTGGTACTGACACCACCACTTCACACATCACGATGCAGTACCCTGATTCGTGTTCAGGAGGCCGATCTTCCCTGTGAAAAAGTTTTCGGGCAAATCTGCTATCGTAGAAGAAGTCTGAGAAACTGGTTCGATTTTGGAAAATTGGAGCAGTAAAGGTGAATGGTGCCGTATCCTTTGTAGTCTTTCCCAGAGACCACTAGTTCTGCTTACCGTTTGATAAAAGGCTGAAGAAGATTACGGGAGTAGTTGAGCACTTTTCAAGAAATGTTGAAGTTTATTGGGAATTACGACGCAAACGTAGAAATAGGGAGACATCTCTACCGCCGTAGGGGTTGTATGAATACTTCCTTCTGGGAAACTGTCGTACCGACCGAGCGATTCTCCGCGACGTAGTGTTTGACCGTGGTTGTGGTATATACCATTTTCACTTTAAATCGGACACTTTTCAAACCAAATCGGACACTTTTCAAACCAAATCGGACACTTTTCAAATCAAATCGGACACTTTTCAAATCAAATCGGACACACCCCTTACAATGGGCAGTTGAGAACTAGACCACACTAGGTACTGCTGCAAGTCCCGCCCCAACATCCCCGCCCACTTCTTAGCGCGGCCATGGTTTTCCAAAATGTTTTATGAATTCTGCTTCTTCAAATTTTTTTTCACTTTCTGCTGTTTGACACACACACACACACACACACACACACACACACACACACACACACACACACACACACACACACACACACACACACACACACACACACACACACTTCAACTGAATAGGGTACCGATACATATACGACTCCGCCCACTTCACAATAAAGTTACGTAAGTTCTGAGTTTTTATCTGAATAGGGTACCGATACATATACGACTCCGCCCACTTTACAATGAAGTTACGTAAGTTCTGAATTTTTATAACTTTTTTCGACGCCATTCTTTTCACATTCAATCTTCACAAAACGAATAGCCATGCATTTACACACTAGCACACTAGCCCCGCCCCTCTGACCACGCCCACTTTCGTTTTTCGCGGAATTTTGATTTTCTTCCGAATTTTCACTTTTTTAGGCTGTAACAAGCGGCTCCGCCCACTAATGGAAGCTCCGCCCACTTTGCAGAAGCCTCGCCCACTTTTGAAAAATGATGTAGGGCTAGAGTCCGTACTGGCAGGTTATGGCCTCTCCCGTCACTCGGAACAAAGTTTCCCTTTTTTTCTTTCTTTCCCTTTTTTTCATTCTATGTGACGGGAGAGGCCATAACCTGCTAGTACGGACTCTAGCTCGCCGATCTGCATCATTTTTTCAAAAGGGCGGGGCTCTACAAAGTGGGCGGAGTCACTCGTTACAGTCTCAAAACGTGAAAATTTGGAAGAAAAATCAAGATTCCCCGAAAAACTCAAAACTGGGAGTGGTCAGAGGGGCGGGGCCTAGTGTCGAGTGAGCAAATGCATGGCTATTCGTTTGTGAAGATTGAATGTGAAAAGAATGGCGTCGAAAAAAAGTTATAAAAATTCAGAACTTACGTAACTTCATTGTGAAGTGGGCGGAGTCATATATGTATCGGTACAATATTCAGTTGGAGTGTATGTGTCAGATAGCAAAAGTGAAAAAAATTCGAAGAAGCAGAATTCATAAAACATTTAACCATGGCTGCGCTAAGAAGTGGGCGGGGATGTCGGGACTTGCAGCATTACCTAGTGTATTTAGTTCTCAACTGCCCATTGTAAGGGGTGTGTCCGATTTGATTTGAAAAGTGTCCGATTTGATTTGAAAAGTGTCCGATTTGGATTTGAAAAGTGTCCGATTTGGTTTGAAAAGTGTCCGATTTGGTTTGAAAAGTGTCCGATTTAAAGTGGAAACGGTATATAACTTTCACGTGAAGGCTACAAGAATCTTCCACAACTACAGCAATACATTAGGAGTATCCATCAAGAAAGTTCTGGGCCTTTCGAAAAACACTGACAGGGCATTCTCACCGACGATATGAATGAGTTTTGGGTAGATTGGTGATATGTTACAGCCTTTTCATTTCCAACTTTTCAGGTTCCTGTGGTATGCTGCGTCTTCTCATCGCACAGTTTTTTCTACGACGCTGTGAGTTTCAGAAGTAATTTGTGTAAATATTAATCATACCTTTTCCATTTTAAATCGGTCACTTTTCAAGCCAAATGGAACACATCTCAAACCGAAACGGACACTCTTCCGCAACATTCACAATGAGGAGTTGGTTAACCAGACCCCCCCCCCTTAGGTACTTCTGCGGGGTTCTTGCGTATTTTAGCGGAATTTTGGTCTTTTCTCCCAAATTTTTCCCTTTTCAGGCTGTAGCAGCTAGCTCCGCCCACAATACCCCTCCTAATTTGTGAAAAAAAGGCGGATTAATCCACTGAAAGCCGCCCCAAAGGGCCGCACTGCCATTGCCATGACTCGTTTCATAAATAGTGAACAAAGAAGCCATAGATGCCGTCACGATCGCCTCTGCGTGGCGAGTCTAACGGTGTATGACCCGTAGGTCATCAGCTTCTCCCTGAAAACAGGTCAGTATTCCACTTTTGACCTCTGAAGACGGAAACGGTCCTTGGAATCTCACTCTTTCGGCCTCCCAAATCTTATCAATTTTCTCGAACCATGTGGTGCATTCCAAGCTTGTTTTCCTCATCTTTTCAAAGCCTAGTGAGTGGAAGTAATTTCACCATTTTTCCCAAATTTGAACGTGCATTTTTTGAAATCTAGCAAATCGGAGACGAAATACTTCTAGAACGGTGCTTTCGGTTCACGGGCACATAGAAAGCTCGCCACAGTACCCGCCGTAATTGTTCGAAAAAAAACGAAAAAAACGCGGATTCGCGTTTTTTTCGTTTTTTTTTTGCTATAACTCAATTTGTGTGAACTTTTCTCATATAGAACCCTATACTGTTAGACTCAGCTCGTCGAGTTCTATAAGCTGGCATCCTAAAAAACTGAAAAAGTCGAAAATTGAACTCTGCTTCCTATCGAAGTACCTGAGGACACTCGTTAGCGAGCGAGTCTCGCTATAATTGTAACCAGAGGGTAATCGTTGGGAATTAAATCATTCAGGAATCAAATAACGTACTGTGTCGCGTGGGAAGTGATTAAAAATCAGACAGTTATGTTTCCAAAATGATGCTGATCATTACGATGCCCATTTTCCCTGAAGGAGGTCGCTCAATATCATTCTCGGACGATATAGCCTTTTCAGTTCAAAAAATCTCGAGCATTGGTTCAGCTCGGAGCACACGAGCACAAGGAGCTCAATTATGGACCCCGTTTTTTTCCCGATATTCGATTTGCGAAATTCAAGAATGAAGTCAAGAAGAAGCGTTTTTTAGTTACTTGAAATGGGCACTTCGTGCGATACTAGGGCAAATACTCGATTTTCAGCGTTTTCAAACAGGATTTCCAGCGCTCTGAGTGGCCCCATAAGTTCCATAAAAAAGCCACGTACAGAACGTCTTGTGCTTTCCAACAACTTGGTGGAAAACAGTGGGATATTCTAGACTGGTTGTTGTTATCGGGTGCCAACTTCGCGACTTCATTTCAAAGCAAAATTTACGCTTTTTCCAAAGGAAGAAAATCCCAGTCAAAGTTACACCATTCGAATCCCCATGAAAAATGCTATCTATTCATATAAAAAATCACCTCATGGAACTTTCTACAACCTTTCGCAGTTTTCCCCGGCTATCTGACCTGTCAGCGGAATCGACCTTCCAAGTAGTTAGAATGTCGTAGAGGTGTCGGGGCACTGTACAGTCTTAGTAGTTTCGTCCAGCACCGTGGTATCTCCTGTTCAGTATTTCGCAGAGGTTTCGTGAGGAATGCCGTTTTAGAAAATGTTCCTCTTATTTCAAATTTGAAATCGAATTTTCATCGAAATTCCAAAAACTACGTACCTTTATTACAAACTCCTCCATCATTGAGTAACGTTCGTTTTCTTGATAAACCTTGCATAATAGAATGAATTATGCGCCAGATTTTTCTATGCTCTACTGCCTTAAGCAATTGATTCCGCTATAAGGCTCTGGCCTTGAAGAGCTCAAAAATCCTCAACTGTTACCCTGAACTTTCGAATAGAATCATGAACAAACATTTGTAGAATAGTTTATCTAAGCCTTGTATGGGGACCCACTCAATATGAAGAGGTTGTAAAACCTCAAGCACATTCAGCTCGTAATCAGTTGGTGATGTGCGAAAAAGGTCCTAAGGTAATAAGCGCAGGTACCGCCGAGGTCGACAGCGTCGGGCGGAGGCCTTCGTGCTAACGATAACGATGGACAAAGCAACTAGAACACTATACTTGTCGGTGGTATGAAAATGGTATATACTCAGAATAACTTGTGGATGCAAAACTATTGCGACTCCCGGAAATACAAAACTGTCTGAATAGTTCTCATTTCTGCAGATCGTGAGACCATTCGATTGCCTCCTAGGACAAGAATTGATTGTATTCAAGTACAAGAATTTAGTTGAACGATCCTTATAACTCCTCATGATCTGCTGGATCATGAAGGTTCCTAAGAAAACGAATATTAATCAGTGTTGGAGTTTGTAATTCAAAGTACGAAATTTTTGAAATTCGATGAAAATTCAAATTTGAAATAAGAGAAACATTTTCTAGAACGGCAGTCCTCACGAAACTTCTGCGAAATAGTGAACAGAAGAGACCACGTGGCTGGATGAAACTACTAAGACTGTACAGCGTCCCGACACCTCTGTGGGATAAGTACTTCGGGAGGTCGATTGACCGCTGACAGGCAGATAGCCGGGGAAAACTGCGAAAGGTTGTAGGAAGTTCCATGAGGTGATTTTTATATGAATAGATAGAATTTTTTATGGGGATTCGAATGGTGTACTTTGACTGGGATTTTCCTTCCTTTAACGCGTAAATTTTGCTTTGAAATGAAGTCGCGAAGTTGGCACCCGATAACAACAACCAGTCTAGAATATCCCACTGTTTTCCACCAAGTTGTTGGAAAGCACAAGACGTTCTGTACGTGGCTTTTTTATGGAACTTATGGGCCACTCAGAGCGCTGGAAATCCTGTTTGAAAACGCTGGAAGCGTCGAGTATTCGCCCTAGTTTCCAAGAAGTGCCCATTTCAAGTTGCTAAAAAACACTTCTTGTTGACTTCATTCTTGAATTTCGCAAATCGAATATCGGGAAAAAAACGGGGTCCATAATTGAGCTCGTTGTGCTCGTGTGCTCCGAACTGAACCAATGCTCGAGATTTTTTGAACTGAAAAGGCTATATCGTCCGAGAATGACATTGAGCGAAACCCCTCCTTTAGGGAAAATGGGCATCGTAATGATCAGCATCATTTTGGAAACATAACTGTCTGTTTTTAATCACTTCCCACGCGACACAGTACGTTATTTGATTCCTGAATGATTTAATTCCCAACGATTACCCTCTGGTTACAATTATAGCGAGACTCGCTCGCTAACGAGTGTCCTCAGGTACTTCGATAGGAAGCACAGTTCAATTTTCGACTTTTTCAGTTTTTTAGGTTGCCGAAAAAAAACGAAAAAAAGACGCGAATCCGCATTTTTTTCGTTTTTTTTTCGAACAATTACGGCGGGTACTGTGGCGAGCTTTCTATGTGCCCGTGAACCGAAAGCACCGTTCTAGAAGTATTTCGTCTCCGATTCTGCTAGATTTTAAAAAACGGACGTTCAAATTTGGGAAAAATGGTGAAATTACTTCCACTCACTAGGCTTTGAAAAGATGAGGAAAAGAAAAGTTGGAATGCACCAGATGGTTCGAGAAAATTGATAATGATTTTGGAGGACGAAAGAGTGAGATTCCAAGGACTGTTCCCGTCTCCAGAGGTCAAAAGTGGAGTACTGACCTGTTTTCCGGGAGAAGCTGCTGACCTATTAGGGTGTCCGGAAAGTTTTGAGAAAATTTCGCTGCCTCACTTTGAAAAAGCGTAGCGCGCGAAGGCCATGAGCAAATCTGTAGATCAAAACATAGGAAGATAGAGGATTGTCTGTAGATCAAAGCAGTGGGTGGCAATGCACCCTTTCTTGCAACCTGCTACAGGTGGTACGATCGCTTGGCAATGGGAGAGTTTGGCGTCGATGAAGCACCTCGATGCACCAACACTGACATCGCTCTGGCTTCTGTGAGGACCAATCCTGCCCAAAGTTTGAGGGAGTTGGAGAGGACGACTTCTACTTCTCGATCCACTATTCACGGCATTTTGAAAAGGAACGGCTTCCGCGCGGCTTTGCCCGGAACTATTCCGCGGTCTCTTACCGCAAGGGAACGTGCGGTGAGGGTCGATCTATGCCAGAAGCTCTTCGATCGAGAACGAACGACGACTTGAGCGAGTTTCATAACTGCTCAGAATGAAAAGTGGATCTCGTACGAAAACCCGGATAGGAAACTGGAGTGGTTGCCGTTGGACCAAAAGCCAGAGCCCGTTCCAAAGCGAGGATGCCACGCCAAGAAGGACTTGCTCTCGTTTTTCTTCTGCTCCACCGGCTGCATTTATTATGAGATTCTTCATGAGGGTACTACTGAAACATCATCGATATTCTGTGAGCAACTACGAGAGCTGGTGTCCAGAGCTCCAGTTTCACATCAGTACCGGGGCAAATTTCACATCGACATGGACAACGCCCGGCCACATCATGCGAAGGCGACAAGGGACGAGCTGGAGAATTTAGGAATCGAATGGCTGCCCCATGCTCCGTATTCACCTGACCTTAGCCCTTGTGACTACCATGCTTTCAGGAGTCTCCAGGCTTACGCTACGGGTAAGATGTTCAACAACCATCAGGATGTCAAGCGTATGGTCGATGAATGGATTGCGTCCCGGCCTGCTTCCTTCTGGAAGGAAGGTATCGATGCCCTGCCCAATCGGTAGAGAGACGTCGTGGCTAAGAAGGGCCACTATCTTGATTACTGATTTTTCGCTTTTCTTGTTGTTAATATGTGTTGAATAAAATGACCAAATTTTCTCAAAACATTCCGGACACCCTAATACTTATCGGAAGTTGACAGGTCATACACCGATCTATGGATTCTCATTTCATCATTTATGAAAGGAGTTATGGCAGTGCGGCGCTTTGGGGCGGTCTGCGGCGGATTAATCCGCCTTTTTTCCACAAATTAGGAGCGGTATTGTACTAACAGAAACCTTGCCCACTTTGTAGAGGCTCCGCCCTCTTTTGGAAAATGATTTCAGAGCGGCAGGCTAAAGTTCGAACTGGCAGGTTATGGTCCATTTTTCAGAAGCGGGCGGGGCTTCTACAAAGTGGACGGAGTTACCTGTTGCAACCTTTTAAAAAGGCGAGAATTCTGGGGAAAAGATCAAAATTCCACAAAAAGGCAAAAGAAGTGGGCGTAGTCAGGAAAGCCGGGCTCACTGTGCTGTTGCATAAATGCATGACTATGAGTGCATGCGTTTTGTGAAGAATGAATGTGAAAAGGACGATTTCGAAAACAGCGACAGAATTCGAAACATTTGATAAATTCATTGAAAGGGGGCGGAGTCGTGTCTGTGTTGGCACTCCTTTCCAGTTAACAAATGTGCGGCAAATAGCAACAGTGCAAAAAAAAACAAAAAAAGCAGAACCCATCAGACATTTTGGAAAACGGTGACCGCGCTGAAAGTAGGCGGAGATGTTGGGGTGGTCTTGCAGCAGTACCTAGAAAGGTCTGAAATATCTAGTTAATCAACTGCCTCATGTAAGAGGTGTGCCCGATTTGATTTGGAACGTATTCGATCTCATTTGTAAAATGTTCGATTTGAAATGAAAATGGTATTTACCGGCAAAAATTTCACGAGCTATTATCTTTATTTAATTTCTTCTCTTTCTCCAAGGCTAGTCGGAAGTTTGACAGTGGCGAATGCTTAGTGGAATTCCTGCCACCAGTGGATCCTGCGAATTTCAAAACGGTGGAAGAGCTAAGCGATTACTGCCGTGGTATGATGATGGCCAAATATGATGAATTAAATAAGCAAATGAGGAGTAGACTATTGGGTAAAGACGAGTAGATCCTCTTCGTTGTGCTGCGATTTACTGCTTTCTGTGCTCAATATCGATATGGTGTTAGCATGTTCAAATTGAATGTTTTATCAGCCGATAGTTGTGATCGTATTCCTCAGTTCGAGTCCTAGTATTTGAGGAGATTTTGAATTACTAATTTCACCTGAGATCATTCTTCTCCTCGTGATTTTCAGCTTGTTTCTTCCCAGTTTCTTGTGAGTACATCAATTTGTAATTTTCATATGAAAACTCACATGCTCTTGTTTTTTATTGTTTGCGGGAGACTTTGTAATGAAGGTTTGATGCTTGCAGTAATATGCGCAGAATTCTCAGTCAGAGAACGCTCGAAATCCCAAAGATGATAAATAGCTCGGATTCCCAGTGGAAAGAGCAATTTCTTGATCACTTTTTAACAATGTCACTTTCCCGCCAACATGTGCCCTGATCGTCGACGGTGACCGTCACCCCGGTTACTATCCGTTGCCGCACATAATACTAACTTATTCAAATTAACTGTTTACCTCTTTTCTTTCTTACCCGCTCTATCGTGAACGATATGTATTATTTTGGAAAGAAACTCTTGCGACACTTTGATTAAATTGTTCTAGAAAAAGACCAAAAAACATTTCGAATGTTTTCACCCTGATTAGTGGAGAGTGTCCTCTGAGGTTTTTGCAGATGTGTATATCATGACTTTGTGGAAGCTTTCAAAGCTTAAAAGTCCCTCAGAGGTCGAGGTACTTTTCGACCTATCCCATATTATGAGTTCCTGTAGGGCCACATCGCCGTAGCCACGGGAGTGAGTAGCGTTTGTACCTGCGCTTTCAAGCTGGAGTTATTTAATTCGGAGTAGGCAATGTATAGGTCGGCCACCAGCACAGAATGACGGCCCTTTACTCAAGCTTCTTGAGGCGCAGCCGAACGTAACCACCAGTAAGTTGGCAACCTCTCTAGGCTCCACCTCACTGACAACTGCCGTGCTCTGCAATCTCGTTTACAGGGAACTTTTTTTTGTGAAGGGTGCTAAATGAGTGGATCAGTCCGACAAGGCGCACCGAATGATCGTGCCTGAGTTTTCCTTGAACACACTGGAAGAGCTTCTGTGGGATCTCGCGGTTGGTAGCCAGTGGTGGAGTCCTACGCACACGATGCACATGTCCTCGCAGGATCTCTCAGAGAGAAAAGTAGATTGCACAGCCAAAAGCAGATGTGCATGGAATAAAGATTTCACTGTGTTATTGGTGGGACTTCAAAGCGATATCGCTGGGTACTGGCACAGCAATGTCGGCCACAGTCTACACTAATCAACATGGAAAAATGGATGACGTCATGCTTGAATTCATTGAGCAACGCTCACTTTCTACCACTCGGCAATGCGAGGACATGTGAGGACAAGGCTACGCCGAAAGGTCATGGATTCCGATCAGAGAATGCGACCGTACCTACTTTATTAACCAAAGCTAGCAGCCTGCAATTACCACCTCCTTTGATCCCTACCGCATCCTTTAGAAAGCAAAAATTCCGAAAATCGACGTCTACTCGAAAATGAGGTCCACCTCTTTTTATCGTAGTTGCCGTAGTTCTATAAGAATGGAAATGAGAAGCTGTGCAAAAGGTGGGCACTAGTCCTAGTCATTAATGGTGATTACCTTGTAGATTGGAGGTGTCTTTTAGTGAAGGAAAATTCAGTCAAAGTGTCGCAGGAGTTTCTTTCCAACCTAATAATCTGTTTTTACGGCTAACAATCTCACTTCCGTTCGTCGCTTAAACCATTCTCTGACGCTCAATGGAATACTGTTTGCGAATTCTGAAGTGGTTGTACTCTCATTTCAAAAGACCTGGGTCGGTGTCTACTTCTGCTGTCAGCGACCTGTTAAGGTGTATTTTCCTGATTTTTCGCTTATTGTTTTCTAGGATTAGCCGTGTACTGGCTTGGTACATTGATCACTGCTAATCAGGACAACTTTGGTTGAATTGACGTCGTGTCGACATGGGCACTCCTCTGCAATCCACTGCGATCCATCTTTCCTCATTGTGCCAAAGAAGACACGTCAAATGCATCTCGCCGGACAAGGCTAACGAATTGAAGAAACAACCGGGGAAGTACGCAGCCCCGGGGCTGCTGCCATATATTAAGCTTATTCTCAGCTTCTCTTGATACTACGAATCAAATAGATAGCCAGTGGTCTGTAGCTTCTGCAGAGGAAAACGATAAGAAAGGAGAAATGTCTGTGAAAACTAACGGACAAAAAGATTCGTTGGTCAAGGAATTCCCTTCTAATAATGTGTTTTCCTCTCCTGTGTTTCCTTTGGGGGTTTACGTCGGAAAGAAGAGGTCAAAAAGTCTTTTGTGGGAATCTCTGTTGTGTTTTTAAAATTGCCCAAGTTCCTCGTGCTCAATTGATAGGTTTAATATGACTTCGATCCGTGAATTCCGCTTTGATGAAACGCTTGACGTGAGATTTGTACCTCCAGCACTGTAAGTACAAATTGGTTTAAGTCGTGAAATTGGTTTAAAGAGTCGTCAGTTTGGTTCGGAACTCTGTACTCACCTTTTTTTTCCGGTGTCTGAAGTACTCTTGAGCTATTTTACAGATTCTTCGTCTGACTCCGCCCACCTCAGAGCAGCCCCGCCCACAATGTTTGTGCCCCACAATCTTCACCGACGACCCTCTGCTGACCTTAATCCACTTTTTCCGGTGTCTGGAGTGTTCTGGAACCGTTCTACAGAATTTTTGTCTGGCTCCGCCCACCTCGAAGCAGGCTCTCCGCCCCCAATTTTTGTGCCCCACAATCCTCACCTGGCGACCCTCTGCTGACCTTAATCCACGTTTTTTCCGGTCTTTGAAGTGCTCTGGGACAGTTTTAGAGAATTTTCGTCTGGCTCCGCCCACCTCGGGCTGCCCCGCCCACAATATGTATACCCCACATTTCTCAATCGGCGACCCCTTGCTGACCTGTTCACTTTATTCTCTTCGAAAGTGCTCTGGATCCGTTCTACAGACCTTTTTTCTGGCTCCGCCCACCTCGGAGCAGGCTCCGCCCACAATGTTTTTGCCCACAATCCTCACCGGCGACCCTCTGCTGACCTTAGTCCACTTTTTTCCGGTGTCTGGAGTGTTCTGGAACCGAGCTACAAACTTTTAAAATGAATACCCTGCGATTTAGGGCAAGCTCCGCCCACTGTGGGCGGTCTCAACACACTTTGAGCGTGCCCTATATTCGCCAGATATTTACATTCTACACTGAGTTTTTGCGACTTCCACTCTCGCGAACCGGGTTACTGAATTTTGCGAGAAGCACCGCCCACCTTGAGTACGCCCCGCCCATTTTGGATGTGTCTGCCACAGTTAGTCTGGCGACTCCTTACTAACCTTATTCCCTTTTTCCCCATCTTTAAGCTGCTCCGGAAGCGAATTATGAACATTTTTATGCGGAACCCCTTTCGGCAAATGCCCCGCCACACTGTGAGCGGGGCTTCCCATAGGTCAAGTGTGCTTTTTATTTCTTGTCCCATGCTCTACCCATCCCCACCTTGACCCGACCTCTCCAAGTCGTTCTTCAGGTCGAACCGAATTTCCGGACAGACAAACAAACTTACAAACAAACTTATCGAACCGAATTTCCGGACTGACAAACAAACCTACAAACAAACTTACAAACTTATAAACAAACAAACAAACCAAACAAGACGAAGCAGAATTTATATATATGGGGAGATGATACTGCACTATTCACTACAGGGTGACCAAAAAGTTCTGGCAATTTTTCGAAATACTTTGGTATCGTAAAAGTGCCATTTAATTAACTTAACCAGCGAACCTAAACTTTCGGAAATCTTCATTAGACCAGTAGCGATGACGGTGTACAGAGAAATCACAACATGTGTTCAGAATTGCCTCCTTTGCTTCCCAGATCGAAGCTCGCAGGATGCGTCGTCTGGTCGGTGCTGGTCGCTTGAAAAATGTGCTCTTCACCGACGAAAAATTCCCACGATCGAGCCTGTACACAACCACCAGAATTGTCTGTACTACTCAAGAAGGGTCAGCAGAAGACAACGGCAGCGAAACCCGTCGGCCATAGGCACTTTCCAGCCTCAGTCATGGTCTGGGCTGGGATCTGTGTCACCGGAAAACCTCCACTCGTCTTCATCGACCGTAACCTTAAAATCAATGCTGCTAACTATCAACAGTGCGTTCTTCGCGATGTACTGAAGCCATGGACGTCGCAGCACTTTGGTTCAGATGGATTTGTGCTTCAGCAAAACTGGGCTCCACCAGTCTGCCCAATCCACCTGCGAAGAGCTGCTTCCGGGATTTTGGGGCGAGGACATTTATCCTTCCAACTCGCCTGATCTGAACCCGATGGATTACTCCGTTTAGTCTATCTTGGAGCAGAAAATCTCAGGAATCCAATGCGTGACGGTGGATCATTTGAAAGCAGCATTACTGCGTGCTTGTGACGAAATTACAGTAGAAGAATGCGCGACCATTGTTGGACACTTCGAAAAGCGACTGAGCAAATGTATTGAGGGGATGCGATTTTGAATACATGTTGTGATTTCTCTGTACACCGTTATTGCTACTGATTCAGTGAAGATTTCCGAAAGTTTAGTTCCGCTGATTAAGTTAATTAAATGGTTTTTCTATAATTCCAAAGTATTTCGAAAAATTGCCAGAACTTTTTGGTCACCCTGTATACTATGTAAAGTGTTTATGCATAGACCAGTCGCCTCGCCGGCTCACGCCGGCGCGGCTCCTTCTGATACGGCCCGGCTGTGCCCCGCACTCTTCACGGCGACCCTCTGCTGACCTTAATCCACTTTTTTCCGGTCTTCGGAGTGCTCTGGAACCGTTTTACAGACCTTTTTGTCTGGCTCCGCCCACCTCGAAGCAGGCTCCGCCCACAACGTTTTTGCCCCACGGTCCTCACCTTCGACCCTCTGCTGACCTTAATCCACTTTTTTCCGGTCTTCGGAGTGCTCTGGGAGAGTTTTGGAGAATTTTTG